CATGTCAAGATCTTTACCCAATTGCAAAAGGAACCCAATAGCGATGGCCTGCACCCCAGTAGCGATGGCCTCCAACCTACAGTAATAGCAATGGCCTCCAACACATGTCAAGATCTTTACCCAATTGCAAAAGAAACCCAATAGCGATGGCCTCCACCGTAGTAAGTAGCGATGGCCTCCAACCTAAGAGCAACGGCCTCCAAGACATGTCAAGAGCTTTACCCAATTGCAAAAGGAACCCAACAGCGATGGCCTCATGGCCTCCAACCTAATAGCAACGGCCTCCAAGACATGTCAAGATCTTTACCTAATTGCAAAAAAGCACCAATAGTGATGGCCTCCACCCTAGTAGCGATGGCCTCCAACCTAGTAGCAAACATGTGTCAAGATATTGACCTAGATGCAAATGGAACCTAATAGCGATGGCCTCCACCCTAGTAGGGATGGCCTCCAACCCAATAGCAATGGCCTCCAACCTACTAGCGATGGCCTCCAACCTACTAGCGATGGCCTCCAACCTAATAGCGATGGCCTCCACCCCAGTAGCCATGGCCTCCACCCCAGTACCAACACATATCAACATCGTTACCTAATTGCAAAAAGACCCAATAGCGATGGCCTGCCTTAGTAGTGGTGGCCTCCACACTAGTAGCTATGGCCTCCAACCTAATAGCGATGGCCTCCAACCTAATAGCGATGGCCTCCAAGACATGTCAAGATCTTTACCTGATTGCAAAAGTGGCCTCCACCCTAGTAGGGATGGCCTCAAACCTTAAATAGCGATTGCAAAAGGACCCTAATAGCCATGGCCTCCAAGACAAATCAAGATCTATACCTAATTGCAAAAGGAACCCAGTAGCGATGACCTCCACACTAGTAGCGATGGCCTCCACCCTTGTAGGGATGGCCTCCAGCCTGATAGCGATGGCCTTCAAGACATGTCAAGATCTTTATATACTTATCTGTACCAGTGGAACAATGACTGCAAACAATGAAGGCACAATATCAACGCGATCGAAGAGGATTGAGGTCATTGTGCCGGCGTTCGATCTTTCGTCCTCGGGGAGGAAGACCATGCTCGATCGAATGGGACTCTGAAAGACGCCACGTGGCACCAAAACAGCTGCAACTGAGGCTGTTCTTATGAACTCGAGCTCACATTCAAAGTTCGGACTGCAAAGCACTAGGACACAAAAAAGGAGAAAGGCCTCTGTGCCTATGGCCGTGTAGGCCTATGCTTCCAGAAAGAGAAATAAATCAAGTCACGCCAATTTGCAATTCTTGGCACGTTCTTCATGCCGGGTAACTTTGCCCAAAGACCCGTGACCCGAAGCCAAGCTGTCTGAACTCGTCAGTCTTCCGCCATGACACTATGACTCACGATGACACTATGCATGACAAGACTTGCCGACAGCTTGAGTTAGGACCATCTAGGAATATGCACAGCTGGGCATTTTGTCGCCAAGCTTGGGACAAAATTCCAAGAGGCTGCCCATGTTTCAAGCAGGTTTCTACGACCTGTTGCTTGGTCCATTCCAGTTCTGTCTGTCCACGACCTACATGTCTGGAAAGGGGTTGTCTTGTGTTGCTTCTCTGGCAATTCAGGTACGGTATGGCACTTTGAAGAGGTCTTGCTGATCAATTTTGAAGTTGCCAACATTGGCACCAAAATGCAGCGAACTACAGGAACCGCAGAAGGGCAATATGGGGCTCTGCCAAAGTAGTCACTTGCAAATGTCAAGAATTCTTGCAAACTCAACAAAGTTCAAGTTGGACGACTGACATCTCCCTTTCACAGCACTTTGCGCTTCCTTTCCAAGAGGCTTACCCCCTGTTCCTTTGCCTCATGTTGATCTTTTTGGCCTTTGCTTCAATTGTACTCAGCTGATCCAGGGTGGCTTTCAACCTCAGGTTTGCAGCACCAGTTATTGCACTTAATCTTTGCACTCTTTTTCTCACTCCATCTCTCAATCTCTCCTCTTCATTCAGCTGTCAGGCCACCTTTGGCTCAATCTTTCCTCCATGTCCTTCAACTCAATCTCAGACCTCACAGAATTCTGGTGCAAAGATAGATAGAAAATAGGAACTACAGTAATAGGAAAGAACAAAAAACTATTATGTCCTTCGATGATTCATATAAATGTGTTGCCTTGAGCGAAAAAAACAAAACAAACGAAACAACGAACTTGAGGTAGCTTAGGTTTGCCAAGAGGCGGCACTTCTGCCAGTCGCTCCCGGAGGATTGGACGAATTCGTCCAAGCTGGACGTCTAGGCCTGAAAGCGTCATCGGCAGTTCAAGCTGATTCCATACCGAACGAGCAGTCCAAGCAGTCCAAGCACAAGGCTTTGCATCTGTTCTGCAATGGCGTGAACCTTGGAATAAAGTTGCAACTAGCTTCAGGAGGTTTGGAAAAGAAAACATACGGAACAAACGGGTCATTGAGTGTCAAGCTTTGCGCAGTGGCATTGCCACAGTGCGTTGCACCTCTTCAACTCTTTTCTTAATGGTGCCAGACCTCAAAAGGTCAAGGCCCATGTCTGAACAGATCTCAAACGATCGGATAAGAACTTCAACAAGAACCAACAAATGTTGAAAGCGGTGCATTGGTTTTGTACTGAGAAGCAAAAAGGAAGGATAATGAGACAAGCAACAGTAGTGTTTCGAGTTACGGAAAAAATGGAGTTAGAACATGTTGGAAAGGGTTCCATGGCATTCCGTGGTTTCAAGCCGTGACTTCAACGAATAGACCCAAACCACCCAACAGTCGTTTTCCCGATTCTTCGTGATAGCTTCCTTGCTCCTAGTAGTCAGGCCAGGATCCCCTAGTAGCGTCCTTTGCTCCTAGTAGCGATGCCCTTTGCTCCTAGTAGCTTCTGGCTCCTAGTAGTAAGGCCAGGAGCCCCTAGCAGCGTCCTTTGCTCCTAGTAGCGATGCCCTTTGCTCCTAGTAGCTTC